TCACAACGCGAGCGAGTCGGACTATCTCGTGGCCGAATATAGGCAACCTTCTCAGGTACATTTTTAGTGGAAAACAGTGAGGAGAAGAACGCCGATCAGAAGGTGGGGCGTTACAGTCTCGCACGGTAACATGCGCTGTTATCACCATCTCACCTACCGTGAGAAAATGGAAGCATAAAATCGGCGCCTCTTCTCTAACAAAAGATTTGTAAGACGCTTCCGGTCTCAGTCCGGTCAGATTCCTTAACACCAATGGAGCTGGCTCATAGTGACGTCACTCCGATGAAGCGGAGTCCTCGTGACGTCATTAAAGTGTCGCACCCACGACAGCGCCAATTGTTATCACCTCGCACATGATGAAGTCGACGCCCCTCCTCGGTGATCATCTTGAGCTGGCTTCTGTACGCGGCCATCACCTCATCCTTCGATCCGCTCTCGAAGACGGGCGTGGCCGTCAGAGAAGCCGTGATGAGCTGACCCCGCTCCTCAGCCACCTCTCGGCACAGCCTGGGGGCAGGTCAGGTCATCACTCTCTCATCAGCCACCTCTTGGCACAGCCTGAGGAAAGGTCAGGTCATCACACTGTCCTCAGGCACCTCCCGGCACAGCCTGGGGGCAGGTTAGGTCATCATCCCGCTCCTCAGCCACCTCCCGGCACAGCCTGGGGGCAGGTTTAGTCATCATCCCGCTCCTCAGCCACCCCCGTCACAGCCTGGGGGCAGGTTAGGTCATCGTCCCGCTCCTCAGCCACCTCCCGGCACAGCCTGGGGGCAGCCCATGTCATCACTCTCTCATCAGCCACTGTCTCACCCAACGTGGTGTCATGTTTCCACTCTGTCACCACTCTGTCATCAACCACTGTCTGACCTAGCCTGGTGTCGGGTCAGATCACCACTCTCTCGTCAGTCACCATCTGGCACAGCCTGGTGCTAGGTTTCAGGCAGTCACCAACAGTCCCCCGCCCTCCCTCTGCTTAACGGACAGCCTGCATGAGGTTGCCAAATTACCGTAGTGTTTCGAGTAACTTTCTAGAGGGCGGCCCCATAACCACGAGACTCATTACCTTGTGAACATAACGGTATCACGGTGCCCAATTCTAGCCAAACACCGGTTCCACGGATAACAAGACAAACCACATCCCGACGGGGCGCCACCGTGGCCACTTGTAGGTTAGCGTTAGTGTGTGTTCTTACCGCACGGCGGCTCTGTTCACCTCCTGGACCGTCTGCGTCACCCCCAGTTCTTTCATGAGGCTCTCATTGGCGAAGAAGTTGAGCGCCTGCAGCACGTCGCAGCCCGCACGAGCGAACTCCCGGTGCAGCCCCTTCACTGCAACGACCCAGTGCGACGGTCACGTACTTGGCAGAACACTGCTGAAGGCGCTCTGAGTTTCGCGTCTCTCTCTCTCTCTCTCTCTCTCTTCTCTCTCTCTCTCTCTCTCTCTCTCTCTCTCTCTCTCTCTCTCTCTCTCTCTCTCTCTCTCTCTCTCTCTCTCTCTCTCTCTCTCTCTCTCTCTCTCTCTCCTCTCTCAGCACCGCACTGCCATCTCTTACCTGCCTCCGGGTACATCACGCAGACTTCTGGTGTCCAGTAACCGGTTTGCACATAACACCGCTTCTCCATCTCACAGATCATGCCGCCGTCTCCGATCACCACACCGTCTCGGAGACGCTCCAGCAGACCCTGCAGCCAATCAGGACTGAGATAACGCAGACTGCTGTCAATCATAACTCAGGCAGCCCCTCCAAAAATATCGCCCACCAATCAGTCTCATGACAACAAACTTCTAGACCAATGGGCAGTGAGACATCAGAGACTATCACCAACTAGCAACGGGATAACAGACCCTTTCACCAATGACAACCAGCGACAGTGCTTCTAAATTTCGTGCGGGTTGGGGGAGGCCACCAGGGGTTTGATAGTCCCTGCTTTGACGGCCGTTATCTCAGGTGATCCACCTGCCCATGGCCCTGTGGCTGTAATGTGTATACCAGAGGACATATATTATACGTAGGTATAAATGAACTGAGAGCAAACACTTTTTGTTCGATCAAACTAGAGCAACAAAAAGTCTAGGCATAGCTGACATACAATTTGTGATACGCTTGGCATGATCGATATCATCACCAGCTCAGTGACCACCGTGAAATCTCATTTCAAAATCTTTAAAAGAGCTCAGCCGGCAGGAATAATCAATTTATTTATCTTGCCGACTGACTGACTCAGCCCATTCACCAATGATCTGTCTGCACCTCCGTGAGATTCCAAGACGGCATGGTTATGCTAGCAGCATTTGAGCCATATGTCAGCGCTGCTATTAACGGCACATCTACCACACTTTTAGATTTGGATTGTAGAGATTTTAGATCCCACCAGTTTGTGGTTGTGTCTAGACTCGTGAACGGATGTCGACACGGACGAATTCCAGACCCGGATGGGTCTGCGTAACGCCCTTCTCGCCTTCTGGCGATCAAGGTCATCTGGACCGGTGGTCGAACAGAAGCTGTCCCCCCCCCCCCCCTCCCCCCTTTCAGCAGACTGCGCAGCATTCACCCGCACCATTCACACAGAGTTACGATTACCGTGAGTTAGAGTTAGAGTTACTAGTAGTGGTATATTAGAGTAGAGCATAGAGTTACTCAACCCGTGGGTTTTGTGGAAATGGCATCCAGTAGGCTACCCGCAGATGGCTAGGTTACTAGACTTGGCGTCTCATCGGCTAGAATGCTGGCCTAATGCGGCTCTTATCAACAGTATGGGTCCCTTTACGAGTTCAATGCCCTGAAATCCGTTGGCGCAGATCATGCTGCGAGATCTCAGCTGACGTTTGCTATAACAATCATTTACGAATGGTGACTTGAGCAATTTTGTAGATATTAAGGCTACATGCCAAGCATTTTACCTGGTTGAATTTCATGCCAGTACAAAGCGCATCTTTGATGTCGTCATGGTTACGAGACTCCGCGAATTCCCAGCACGGCACAACTTGGGGGAAAGAAGTTTAAAGTGCATCCAAAATACTAGTTACCCCTGTTTCACACTAAAAATTTGGTACGCTTTAGCTTGCCGGGTTTGCTTGGAAACAAGAATACAGCAATCACCGCCTCACTGCTATTTGTCATAGAACTGTTGGTCGAGACGGGCAGTATTGCATGGTTTCGTGCTTGCCAGCATAAAACCCTGTTCAAGGTTTTAAGTGTCGTGGTTTGTTCGAAGCGTTTCAACGCAAGAGGGTTACGCACGCGATATGAAGTTTGAATTGGTCCATCCTGAGGAGGGTTCAGCCTCAATCCCTGCACGCAAGCCCGACGTGAAGAACCAGAAGGAAGTAGTACCAGTGGCGGCGCCGGCCTCATAGGGTAGCTGAGTTCTCAAGCGGGACCTGATCATTCACGCAGATCCATAGCTATAGTCTATGGTCTATGACCTACGGCCTCAGGCCTATGCATGCTTTTCCTTCCACGCACAAGCTGTTAAGCTTCGCCCCGATCGGGGGTCGATACGGAACTCCGCAAGAAACCGTCCCTTGCCCTTAAGGGCAAACAAAATGTGTTCCGTTTGTGCGAACTTCTTGAAAACTGGAACACATGTCATTTCGAGGGTGCGGTTAAGGAAAACTATTCTGTTTACACCGTTCGTCCATTACAATTAGGTCTATATGCTGTACTGCATCGGCAATATTTGCCCCGCCCGAGCTCGCGTCCACTCCGGGTGAAAACTGTTGGTAAATATGCGACGAATCTACTCAAGGTAACGTGGCTTAAAGCACCGCATTATGCATAACGAATGTGTCAAATTAGCATATCACCATCACAGCAGGTAGGGAAAGACATGATCCAGATGCCGTGATGCAAGCAGGAGGATATATATATATATATATATATATATATATATATATATATATATATGTATATATATATATATATATATATATGTGTGTATGTATGTATCACATACATATCAAACGCAAAGGCAATCAAGTGTGGCGCCGAATCTGTATTTCATTATGCTAGGGAGGATGCATTAGCGCCAACCTAAAACTATTTTTAGTCTAGCGTCTTTAGTCATGGGTCTTCTCAGCGACATACAGAAATCATTTTTGGTTGCGGTATGTCCTTCATTTCTCATAAAGCAGTTGGAATTTAGCCAAACTACATGCAAGCGCGTATAATGTGTGAGAGATAACATGAGCAGGGAATCTGTATCCATGACCCCTCCCCTTCACCACACTCGCCTTAAAGTTGACACTAGTTTTTCTCTCGTCCTTGTTACTCATTGACATGTAGGTAATTGATAAGTCTATCTGCTGTAAACCAAGTATCTGTAACAACACTTAGGCATCTGTAACACCAACCGTAACTACCGCTCAGTGCATCCATACACGGATGTTGATACATGCAAATAAAATATGTTACCACTTTCGGAAGAAATATTTTCGAGAAGGCCATGCAGTCAAAAAACCCATCCTGTATTCCGCTGTCGTTCATACAATTTGCAGCTGCGTGTCAGCTATTCCAGACATGTTAACAAGCAAAATCGTATGGTGAGGTGGAATGAGTTAATCTACCTCCCTGATCTTCTAAGCAGACACCTCCTAAAACCTCAGGATTTTCTCTTAACATCAAACAGTGTCGGAAGGAATTGTGTGACCTTTACTTTGGTAAAGGTCACACATTCAGCGCCCATGTCAGCTGTTTCGAAAAAGCTCTCGAAGTCAGCCGACCGCGACGGAATGTCATCGTCTCTGATGGCTCTCCGTCGCGTCCTGCTGCACGGTTTGGAATGACGCTGACAGGAACACAAACGTCACACCCCGGTCTGCATCGGCCGGCAGTGCTCGAGAGGAAAGCAGGCGCCTACCTTCTTTGCGGAGGTCGAACCAGACCCGCTGGCTTGCTTCTCTGTTTCGCCCATTTTGACGCTGAATCGCGGCCGCTTCTGAAACTGTGTAGACCGATCAACCATGGCGTCTTGTGGGAAGCCTTTGACGGGGTCAAGTGTTAACGGGCATCTGTAAGAGTGAAGGACACCCCCCGACACTCCGTTGACACGTATGACACCAAGTAGCAAGCAGGCATACACCACACACCACACACACACACACACACACACACACACACACACACACACACACACACACACACACACACACACACACACACACACACACACACACACACACACACACACACACAAGACAAGTATCACGTACAAAACCGGCACCGGCTTGTATACAAACATTGAAAAGACGTAAGTAATGACATTATTCTTCGTGGAAAAAACAGAAGAATAAAGAGATGGATGCGCTCTGATATTTTGTCAGCATGCTTCAATCGAAACGCATAACAGAGGTACACTTTCTTAAGTTCTTAAGCGCATTTGTGGGGAACATTATGCGCGTAGGTAAGATCGTGGTAATAGCCTTATTGCCCGTTGAAACATCAGGAGAATAGAGATATAGATGCGTTAATATTTCCGCAACACATCTCTATCAGAACGAATAGTAGGAGCCAATTCAAAGTTGTCTGCCGATGATCCTACTCGAATTTTTAGTTTTTTTTTGACACAGCGAGACAGTTTACACAGGTCACCAACATTCAGGGGATTAAACAAGGAGCAATTGCCAGCCATTACTACGGTACGGTGATATCTAGCTAAGAATGAGAATGTGCGAAAAATATGTGTACACGCGAACGAATTCAAGTAAACAGGCATCACGCGTCACGCTTCACCCAAACATGCAGGTGAGCTCAAGTAAACAGGCATAAAGGTCACGCATCAATTATGCATGCGAATGATTTTTGTTGAACAAACATCGTGCATCACATGTCAGTTATCACTTATACACGTTAGCCATTTCAAGCTACCACACATAAAACATCAAGGCACACATTACCATCGCAAAATCGGCCATGACTAGCCCTGTACGTTAAGATTTGGTTGCCGAATTTCTATAAGAGCATATTCACATATTTTCCTGTATGGGTGGTCCTGTGCTTTGCAGATAACTTTGAGCTCTGAAAGGGGCATCGGGTGATGCCCTGGATTTCAGCCTAAGCGTATTTGGTCAAAAAGATGGTCACGGAAAGGGATATTCCCCGTTTTGTTTAGGGTCCCGTGGGTGTTCATTGTATGTAAAACGAATATGCAGCATGGACTTCCCGACACAGGCTATGTCCTGCCAGTGTTTTTCACACATTCCACACTTAATTTGGTATGAAAAACATGGGCGGGGCATAGTCTTTGTCGGGAAGTCCATGTGAAATGGGTGTTTGTATGTCCTAAACGATATATATATATATATATATATATATATATATATATATATCGTTTAGGACATACAAACACCTGCGAGACGCTAAAAACAAAGCAGGGAATATCTCATTCCGGTAACCATTTTTTGGCAAAACACGCTCAGGCTGAAATCGAGGGAGGTATGGACCATATGCCCCTTTTGAAGCTCAAAGTCATCTACTGACCACAGGACCACCGCGACGGGAAAATAAGTGAATGTATCTTTATAAAAAGTCAGCGAGCAAACGTTAACATACAGGGCTCATCATGGCCGATCACGTGAACGTGATATGTGCCTTGATGTGTGGTGCGATGATACCTGCTAGCTTTAAATCGTTGACGTGTATAGGTGATGACTGACGCGTGATGCGCGATGCCTGTTTTACTAAAATCGTTTGTATGTATAATTGATGCGTGACGTGTGTTGCCTGCTTACTTGAGCTCGCTTGCATGTTTGAATGAACCGTGATGCGTGATGCCTGTTTTCTTGAATTCGCTTGCATGCACGCGTGTTTTTCGCGCATTGTTATCCTTAGTTAGATATGCACTGCACCGTTGTAATGGCTGGCAATTGCTCCTTGTTTAACCCCCTGAGTGTTGGTGACCTGTAAAAACAGTGGTTCGCTGTTTCAAGAAAGCTTGAAAAAATCCAGTACAATCATCGGCAAGCAATTCTGAATTTACTTCCGCCATTTGTTTCGATAAAAGCATGTTGCCAAAATTTCAACGCATCTTTCTCCCCATTCTCTCATTTGTTCCCCATTCCCCACTCTCTCATTGTGTGTGTGTGTGTGTGTTCGTAACATCCGTGTCGGTACCAAAATACACCGTCCAGCCCATCAAAGCAGGCCGACTCCTCCAAAGCGGCGCCGTCTGCCTTTGTGGAGGAGCAGGAGCGACTCAGCTGTGCGGGCGCTCTTTTGGAATATTTGTTGCTCGTTGGCCACGCTGATACCCGATCTTCACTGAGAATTTTCAGTAAAAATGGCCGATCTTCAGTGAAAAGTCTCAGTGGAGGTCGGCTACCAGCGTGGGAGTGATAACCACCGTCACACCCCTCCGCAGCCGATCTTAGTAAAGATCGGCTACCAGCGTGGGAATGATAACCACCGTCACACACCAGCGCTCTGCAGAACTCAGAACGGAAACGCCTGTGAGTTGGCGACTCGCATTGATTATTTGCAGGGGCGCATATGACTAGTGCAGTTGATCCACCCCTAAAGCCTTACAAGTATCAAACTGATAGTTGATCCACCCCTAAAGCCCAACAAGTATCAAACTGGCGACTCGCTAAAAAAAACACAGCAAAACCGAACACCCCTCCGAGCGTACCTGCAACTGTCGCCGCGCGCAGCCCAACTCTGCCTGCCACCCCAGACGATGGTCAAATGCACCCCAGCTTGGCGAACGCCGCCAGGCAAGTGCTGGCCCACCCCCCAGTGACGTCACATGACGTATGTGTACGCTCAATACAGCCCGGCCACAGGCTCACCGCCGTAGCCAGCGTTTGAGACGCGGCGTAAAAAGAACTGCTGCTGTCGTATTCGGGCCGGGCCGGGGAGGGGGGGGGGGGGGGGTAACATTGCTACGCGCCCCCTAATGAAATTGTTAAAGGTGTTCATATGCTCGTAATGTAACGTCAGCAGCTATAAAAACGAGGGTACACGCAAATTCACGTTGAAAACATAAGACGTTGCCAAGCGCCGTGCAAGAAATTTCACCTGCGAGTAACACGCCGAAGACGGTTTTTCGGGCAGCAAAGTAGAGTTGCGTTCACTCTTCCCTCTACGAAATCCTGTTAACACACCTGGAGAGATCGGGTATATTCAACGAAAAAACTTGTAATGCCAAAGAACTTCAATCTGATGCCCTTACCTTTCTTACCTTTGCTGGTACCCTTATACCTTTCCCTCACACATCAAGACACACCGAACGTAGCAGCTAAACCTAGTCCCTTCTACGCGCGCCGAAACTATGCTGCGGATTGATCACACGAATGGAATCAATGCTGGGACCCGCAAACGGGTCATGTCCTGCATTGCCCATAGGCATTGTTTACTGTCTTCACTGTGCACTGTCCCGCCAAAAAACCTGAAAGATGCTTCCCAATCGATAAGACAGCTGTGATAGCCGTATTCCCCGCAGAGAAACCAGGAGAATGGAGATATAGATGAATTGATACTTTGGCAATGGGTTGATACTTTTTATCGGAACAATAGCGGAAGTGGATTCCAAATTGCCAATTTCGAATTCACTTCTGCTATTGTTTCGATAAAGGCATGTTGCCAAAGTATCAACCCATCTATATCTCCATTCTCCTGGTTTTCTCCGAGGAATAGGACTATTACTACCGTCTTATCTATGTGAATAATGTTCCTCGCGGATGCACTGAACAGCTTACGTGATGTTCCCTATCCACAAATAGCTGCTAACAGACAAGCCCAGCTCAAACCAGATCCTAGAATATCCACGTGTGTCGGCACTTTGTGCCCAGAAGCTTTACTCGGCTCCTGGTGGTAGGTTCGCTCGTCTTTTGGAAAAGCGTCACATTATTTAATTTGATGCAGCAAAGCATGACGTCATTTGTCGTGTTTAGAGCTCGCGTGTAAAGCTCTGGCTGCGTCTGAGCATGCCCCGCCATCAGCAAGCTCAAGTCGCGCAGCAGAATCACACCATATAACTGACATCCAGCAGATTCCACGACAGTAGTGCTACAGCAAATCCCCTACTGGAAAGAGTACTACGACGCTATTTCACGTTAGTGTCGCATAACAAAACTTACACTTCAAAACGTATACCTGTCTTTCCTTTCACTGCAAAAAGGTATGCCCACCATTACGTCTATTGCAAATATTTATGCCTATCAGTGCTTCCAATGCAAAAGGTACACAGCCTTTACCTAAACGGGACACTGCCTCTACTGCCAAAATCAAGCCCTGACGTCCGAAATGTATGGACACGTACCAGGGCTGGGGTGGAAGTAGTGACGGGTATGAGTTGTGGAGCATGGCCTACGTTGTGCAGCACTATTGTCGCGTGTGACTATTGATAGTAGAGGTAATATCGCTTATAATTAAACACCATACAGCTTTTACAATGGACCTCATGATTGCACACGTATTTAGTGTGAGTTCTCATTACTTTTTAGGCGCTGTGGTGTGGCTCTAATATTGCATATAACTCGTTGCAGTAAAATAATGTCGCCTATAATCGAAGACTGCTCCCGTTTTGTCTGTAGAAGTAGTGAAGAGCATGTGTATTTGCAGTACGAATATTTTCATGTAGCACACGTGCCTGTCTGCCGTGTAGTCTGTCGTGTATGAGCTTTTCCAGCAAAAGTAATGCCACGCTTAAGTAAAATCGGTACGGGTCGCTTGACGTTTGCCGATACAAAATGTTTCAGGTGGCATTCCTCCAGTCTCACCATCCCTTCAAACGGGTGATATACCAGCGCCGTAGTTTGGCTCCCCCTCCACTGCATGACACCCCTTCAACGTATCATAGCTTCGGATTTATCATATGTTCTGAATTCAAAATCCAGCAGCACCTAGCCCCTTCCGCTTGTTGAACCGTGCACATGAAAACCCAAAACTCTATGCATTGAACTGTCCTCGCTACCATCGGACCAAAATTCCAATGCCAAGTAAATCAGAACGCATCATCCCAAACCTTTACGACCTCAATTTTAAGGTACAGCCCAATAATTGTCTCAAAACGAATAGGTTAAGAATTGGACCTGGCAGCAGATAATGCAAATCTTCAAAAGCATTTAATCTCCAAACCAAATAATTCGCCTGAGAATCTGCAGCGGGTGCGGGCGGTTAAGTGATGACTGAATGGCGTTACCGCGCCGGGCGTCCGCCGCCGGCCGGAGGCGGCTAGAAGCCTGACCTAGAGCAGCCACTTGTGCCTGGCCTAGTGAGAGATATATGGGACGAGCCCACTCGTCCCATCAGCTGGCAGATGGGACGAGTGGCCGCTGGGTCGTGGGCTTGCTGGCGGCGATAATTGTGGCGTTGTTGGGAGAGACGCTCAGACTTCAGCGCTCGCTATTGCGCAATCCAGTTATCACATCATGTACTTCTTCATGTAAGTAACCAAAAATATCAAGACACAGACAAGGTTTTGCTGTATACGTAATGACGGGTGCGTGTTTTTGCAGTACAGGCGTTGTTGTGCAGCACTTTTGTCATGTAGGAGTTCTTGCAATGGAAGAAATGTCGCGCATAAGTAAAGATGACAAGCCATTTGAACCCTGTTAGCCTAACCTAACCCTATCATGTAATGACGGGAAAACGTTTTTGAAGCCTACGTTTTGTCATGCACCACTCATGCCATGCACAAGTCTTTGCAGCAGAGGTAATGCCGCCGAGAACTTAAGTCGTAGCATTTTTGTCCGTAGTAGTTTTTGCCGTAGCACTGATTCCGGAACACCCAGCAACACTTCGGTCATGGTCTTCACATCTCCTGGAGGCTATTCGGTGGTTATGTGAGCCCCTTTAGTGCCGGCAGTGAATTCCCACTGATCGTTTTAGAACCATTTAGATTCCAGCAAAACGACGTGTACCGGGAAGACCGTAAATCAGGCGGCAAAACATGCTAGAGTGCGTAATAGCTTCGGAAAACATTCGACTGAGGAAAGAAAATAGCTTGACCTAAACACAGAATGTATTCCCGGTAGAGATCGTTAGCTAGTTGCAATTTACTTAGTCGACCCCCTCCTCTCCAGCGCACCGAGCCGGTAGGGTGTGGCCCTGAGATGACATGACGCAGGCAATGAAGCTCTCGTTCGTCACCATAAAGGTCACGTTTATTCAGCGCGACAGCTGAAGCGTTGGCCAGATGCGGCTGACATTCGCTAGTTGCCGGCGTGACCTAACGGCAGAGGTCACACACGCCAGCGGAGTCGTTACTGGTCAGAGGCGTAGGAGGATCCCTTAAATGGGGGGAGAGGGGCTGGCGCACACACATTTTTAATTACCTGCCTTGCATCACTTAGGGTTAGTAGCAAGCTTCACCGACAAGTGTTGGGTAATAACCCAATGTTTGTGCGCTGGTTCTGCTGTGCAAGCCAGATGTCCTTAAAGGTCACTGCGGCGCCGACGACCACTTTTGTAAACGTGGCTCGCTCGCTTGGCAACTATTTACAACAGTTCTGAACAGACGCGCGCATTCCGCGCCCTGGCCCGGGGCGCCCCTCAGCAACCTTGGATCTGGTCATCAGCGCCCTGGCCCGGGGCGCCCCTCAGCAACCTTGGATCCGGTCATCAGCGCCCTGGCCCGGGGCGCCCCTCAGCCACCTTGCATCCGGTCATCAGCGCCCTGGCCCGGGGCGCCCCTCAGCAACCTTGGGTCTAGTCATCAGCGCCCTGGCCCGGGGCGCCCCTCAGCAACCTTGGGTCCGGTCATCAGCGCCCTGGCCCGAGGCGCCCATCATCAACCTTGGATCTGGTCATCAGCGCCCTGGCCCGGGGCGCCCTTCAGCAACCTTGCATTTGGTCATCAGCGCCCTGGCCCGGGGCGCCCATCATCAACCTTGGATCTGGTCATCAGCGCCCTGGCCCGGGGCGCCCTTCAGCAACCTTGCATTTGGTCATCAGCGCCCTGGCCCGGAGCGCCCCTCAGCAACCTTGGATCTGGTCATCAGCGCCCTGGCCCGGGGCGCCCATCATCAACCTTGTATCTGGTCATCAGCGCCCTGGCCCGGGGCGCCCCTCAGCCACCTTGCATCCGGTCATCAGCGCCCTGGCCCGGGGCGCCCCTCAGCAACCTTGGGTCTAGTCATCAGCGCCCTGGCCCGGGGCGCCCCTCAGCAACCTTGGGTCTAGTCATCAGCGCCCTGGCCCGGGGCGCCCCTCAGCAACCTTGGATCCGGTCATCAGCGCCCTGGCCCGGGGCGTCTTTTTCTGGCGCCGCTGCTGGCGTCTTTGTAATTGTCCTGCGCCAGTGAGGGCTAGTGGTAGCTCTACAGTGGCAAAATTATGTATGGTTTGCTCGCTCTCTGCCTTGAGTTGGAATGACCTTAAATGCGTGGCTTCAATGTAGACTCTTCAGCGCTTTCACCAGTTGCACTGTAGTCGAGTATCGCCAGCTAAAGAGTGGCTAATGTTGTCCACTAGGTGTCAGCCAAAGAAATAATGCTTTTGTCTGCATGGCATGGACTGAATCCCTGTCAACGAAATACAATAGGGGCATATGGACATGACCAAGCGTCTGTAATACATGAACATGAACATAATGTCTGAAATACATATGACGTGGATTCGCTTCTATAGCATATTACGTGGGCCCGCGTTTGCCATACATGGAAATAACGTCTGTAATGCATGAACTTGAAAGTAAACATGAAGCCAACGTTTGCCATGCATGGACATGAATCCGCGTGTGCAACACCTATCCATTGGCCGGCTCCCACATCACAGTTTCGCCCTGTTCTCCCGTCCCCAAGCATCTCGTAGCCATCGCCACCGATCTCGCTTGCCCGCAGTGCGGGGCTGCTGACCTGCTGGCCATGCACCTGTCCCTGCCGTCCCTGCCAGCTGAGCTGCTGGCCGTGCGCCTGTCCCTGCCGTCCCTGCCAGCTGAGCTGCTGTCCCTTCCGTCCCTTCCGTCCCTGCCGTCCTTGCCAGCTGACCTGCGTGCTCGGCAGCTCTCTACAGGCCAGGTGTCCCTGGTGACTGCACAAAGTCCGTCTGCAGTCTGCCAGAGCCGTTACACCAAGGGCTGCTGGTTTGCTGGCCGGCTGCAGTTGTGGAGGAACGCGCACGTTTTCGACTATCGGCGCACATGAGCAAGGTTGAGGCTTGTTTGTATCTGGGTCTGCTCAGAATGGCTCTGGTATTCTGCAGTGTGTATTACCGCCAGCTGTGTGATAACTGAGAAGATGACGGACTTCTGCACGAGGTGCAGCAGTTTCGAAAAACTTCCAGGACTCGATGACGTCACGAAGTCATATCATCGCCGCCACGTTACGGAGCGGAAGTTTTCGGCTTATTTATGGGCACGTGCAGCTCTGAAAGTCAGCAGCATCGTCACCCAACAACAGAAGCAACAACAACAATAGGAAAAACATTCTTTACAAAAGCACATGTAGAGGATTACATTGTATATCGGCGAAAAGCGAATTTGCTTAAGCATCTTTTCGTATGTGATCTAAACGCAACAGTCGTTCGGCCGACGTGGCCCAAGTGTAATTTCCACTACCGCTGCACCAGTGGGGTCCGCGTGCCAATGCAGGTTGCATGCATTTTGAAATCGGCCTGAGCGCACTTAGTGAGCCTGAAAGCCATGAACCCCCGCGCAGCCCTTGCCGCCGCCCGGATCAGCACCGTGTGGCAGTGTGTCGAAGTTCTTGTGTAAATGGGGCGTGGCGAAATTTGATTTGATTGAATTGATTTGATTTCATTGAAAAATCGCATTGTAGCGTTTCTAAAATTACGTAAGTTGTTCAGTGCATTCGCGAGGAACATCATTCACATAGATATAACAGTGGTAATACCCTTCTTCCTCCGGAAAAACAGGACAATGGATTTCTATTCTCCTTGATATATGGTTCTCTATTTTCCTGGTTTTTCTCCAAGGAGTAAGTTTATTACTGCTGTCTCATCCGTTTCTGAAATTGTCTTGAAGAGGTGGTCCCAAATGGCACCGGAGAGCGGGCGGTGCAAGGTAAACTGGGTGACAGTTACAGAGCGGAAGCCACACTAGCAGCGCAGATCCTTCTTTTTTAGTTTAATATCTATGAGCCTTCAAGGAGGATATGCCCACACGAAGTGTGGTGGAGGGAGTGTTGCCAGATTGTTTGCCTGAACAATAATGTCGTGGCAGAGCTTCAACTTCCAGCCTCTTGGGCAGGGCGTGTTTAAATTTTGATAGCTGAGTCTTTGCCAGAAAGATTGGGGGAACCGATTCTAAGGTTGCGTTATGACATGCATGAATGAACGTTGAAATGAAGTGAGACGGTTAAGCGGTTTTCATCGGGTGTTTGCAAAGCGCAGGTTTATGCCTGTGTCGTGTTGTGTTGTGGCTGGGGACGATAGGTGCAATGGAACTGGGATTATGAGACCGTGTACCTCGTAGCTTGTGCACATCACAGATCACAAAGGCCTATCCGTTGTGCAGTATGCCACAATGGTCAAGAGTGGACTGCATGTATGTGGTGTAAATTTGAGCCATAGCAGTGTGGCGTATAGTGTAGTGTGTCCACAGAACGGCCAAAGTAGTGTGGCGTGATATGAGAAAGACGAGTCTGAATGCTCGATTTACATTGTTCATCACTTCGTTGATGTGGTCGTAAGAGCGAAGCCTTCAGAAAAAGTTATCCTTAAATGTGTGTAGCTATCTGTAAGTTATAGTCCAAAATCTATGCACCTATTTATATATTTAGTTAATCTATTTGGTTGCATGTTCAGTTTCTTATTTATCTATACATTTCAGTTACCTTTCAGGTTTGCCTCCAAAACGACCTTTCGTGTGGTTGACATTAGTCTGTTCGTATATGTTTCCTGTATTGTTATGTCTGCCTTGAATCTGATGGCTTACTCCCCGTCACAGCCAAAAAATTCGTCGCAGTAATTTTGCAGTGATGCTTGCACGACACTCATGCATTCTGGGACAAGAGTCGCGCGTAGCGTTCCTCCGGCCAAACGGCGCCAATAAATGTTTACCGCGGCGGGAATCGACCCCGCGTCTTGACCGCGCGGTCCAGGCCTTACTCACCATCCAGCTATTTCACATCGGCACGTGGCGCATGGCATCCATCACCGCATGACATAACCACCAACTGAGACACGCGGAGCAGGCGGCGTCGCTGGGTTATGTCCGTTACGAACGCATCTCCGAAATACACCCTCATCGCCAGCTGGGGCACGTGTCATCCGCGTCGACATCATGACAAACCACCGGCACCATGAAAAGCCGCAGTTCAGACACACGGAGTCCGTACATTCATAGGGCGCACGACGCCACGTGCTAGTGCACTACTATGAGAAGGCATTCGACGGCTCAGGGAGGCCAAATCATAGTTGCACCGCTCGCAGTGCAATACATGACCCGAACGGGAGAAACGGCCGGTACCTCTAGAAGTGCTTCCAAAATGCAGGTTGCAGGCTGCACAACACACAACATTCTGGTAGCGAGACCCTGGTTTAGCCTCGCCTCCGAGGCTCTCCGCGCATGTCACGTCGGTGGAGCTTGGCTCTAACGATCAGTTCAGACTGCCAGCGGCAGATGGCAGCAGGGTTAATTGGTCTGAGCTGTAGCCCATTTGAAGTGCGTTTTGCATGGAGACCTCAGTTGGTCAAGGCGTCCTTCCAGTTGGCCAGGTATTCATTGGCTGATTCGCCGACAGAGGCAGGTTTTGCGTTCATCCAAAAATGTCTGGAGCTCCTGAAAATGAACAGGAAAGGACTGCATCTAGCTTTCAGTTCAAGAAACACATGTCTGACAGCGTCGGATTACACGTGCATCATACATCGTGTAATTTTGTTCCGCAAGCGAAAATATTTTAATTTTTGCTGAATGACTTTGAGCTGCCAAACGTCATTTGAGCTCAAAACCAAGAATAAACAACTGAGATGCATGCAAAAGTAAGCGTGGCGTTGTTGATGTTCTGATACGTGATCCTGACGATGTAAAGCTGTTCTAAGGATGAGTGGATTATGTAGTAATAAAGCGATGTCGCACAAACTGGTCTTGCGCGGTACTGGAGCGTGGAAGAGTTGTGTTTAACGTTAAGCATCGAGGAACTGGGTGTTATGGAGATAATACATCCAATCGTAAACATGGCATAAAGCCCAGCATAAGCGCGGCAAAACACCGTCTCGCTTCCTCAAGTCGCAAAAAATTTTCCTGAATCAGTTCTACTCTTGAGGTTCGTTGATGAAATGCATTGGAATTTTAAATGATAGTTTCAGAATATTCCCTTCTATTCCCCGTCTCTGCCATGCTGCCTTGTGACCTTTCGGAAACAAAATGTGACGCTGGTGAGTGAGCCAGCGAAGAAAAAGCAAATCCCTCGGTCTAACCTAAAACCAGGGACGCAGCCAAAGCTGGCAGCCTGCCCCCCCCCCGCCCCCTCCTTAAGCTTCTTTTTGTTTCGTTTGTCACCATAGACGGCTCCCGACAGAAAGTGGCAAATGGGCGTGATGCGTCCCCATCGATTCCTTCCACCTCTTTAAGCAGCCCTTGCTGTACCCCTGTCTGAATACTTATGAGTCCTTTCCCCCTTTAACAAACCCTTGCTGCGCCTATGCCTGAATACTCACCGAGTCCCTCCCCCTCGCTAAGAAAACCTTGCTTCGCCCCTGCCTGAACACTCATCTAGTCCTTCCCCCTTTGAGATGTCTTTGCTGCTCCACCCCTCCCCCGCCTGAAAACTCACCGAGTAGCTCCCCCTTAAGAACCCTTGCTGCACTCCTGCCCGAAGCCGTGATGTCATTCCTTCAGCGGAGGGTAGCCTCACCTCTTGGAGACGTCCAGGTTAGCATGCGTGGCGAGATCAGCGCCCCAGCCGCCCTTGTGGGACGCCTCTGGGACGACACCTCCCCGTTCCTTGGAGAGCTCCTCCGCCATCGCCCTGGGGTTGAATGTCAGGGGTCAGCACGACCTTGAGCGGATGGGGTCGAGCCAGTCGGCACGGTTGTAGGCGTGCTCATCTCCAGTGACGTCATCCCAGTGACGTCATCCCCAGTAACGCCACCCCCAGTGACACTGTGCCGGTATGTGTAACAATAAAATATGTGCGTGATGAAGCAATGTAACACGGCAGCAATGTTGTAAGCCCCGACGCTTCGTCAATATGAAATTAACGTGTCTACGCCGGTGTCAATGCGGAGATCAATGCTCGGGCAGTCCTGACACTAGTGACAACGCGGCAGGCAAACTGATACGTTGAACACGGGAGCAGCAGCAGAAAAAACTAAATACTGGGCCGGACATACCACCAGGAGCCAACATACCACATGATGTTTAAGGCACGGAAGAGGAGACAAAATGTGCATTCTGATATGGTGGGCATGGAACCAGCAGCAGGTCATGGTAGGTACAGAAGAAGAGTCAGGATATATGGCGTGATGTGAAGGGAGCGGAAGTAGCAGAGGGTGTCAGGATATATGGCGTGATGTGAAGGGAGCGGAAGTAGCAGCAGGGTATATTAACTGATGTGGTTAGACACAGCAGTAGAATAAGTGCTCAGTACCCAATGTGGTGGGCACAGCAAGAGTATCAGAAGATATTACCTGATGTAGTGAGCGTGGAAGTAGCTACAGGATACATCACTCCATGTGGTGAGAACAACGGTAGTATCAGGAGATATCACCTGATGTGGGTGGCGCGGAAGTAGCAGCAGCCACCGATGTACCGCACGCCCTCGTCGTACGCCTCCCGTGCGAACGCACGACTCTCGAACCGCGTCAGCACCAGCGACTCCATGGCTGTCGGCGGGCGGGCGACGGAGCAGCTCGTCAGCGCTATCAGCTCGTTAGCGCGATCAGCTCGTCAGCACGATCAGCTCGTCAGCGCGATCAGCTCGTCAGCACGATCAGCTCGTCAGCACGATCAGCTCGTCAGCACGATCAGCTCGTCAGCACGATCAGCTCGTCAGCACGATCAGCTCGTCAGCACGATCAGCTCGCCAGCACGATCAGCTCGTCAGCACGATCAGCTCGTCAACGCGATCAGTTCGTCAGCACGATCAGCTCGTCAGCGCGATCAGTTCGTCAGCGCGACGGTGACGAAGAGGATCGCTGAACACCTGGCCTGATTTTCGGACGACCCTCCCGCCCATCAGGCCGAGGGGAGGGAACAATCGTAAATGTTGTCTTCGCAGCTTCCAGGACATTTCTTGGATCAGTCAAAAGCAGGCGGACGGAGCGCCATGGGCATTGTTTTACGGTGCTAGCCTCCCCCGCAATGGTCGTCTCAGCCTTGTCCAGTTGGATGTTCGGTGTTTAAAAAAATATTCTCGCTGAA